TTCATCTTGAGTATATTCGGAGTCGGAGTGATAACTTCTCTCAGAGTGGTGGTCGGAGTCGGAGTCGGATACCCATTCACCAACATGAGCTTGATGTCTTCGTTTTGTGTAGCTTTTTGATGACTTGACCTTCCTTTCTGAATCCTTGCTTATTCGAGAGGTTGGGCGGCCGATATGCAAGCCCGCGATGGCAACGAGGGAACACACGGTGCGTACGCGAAAGACGCGCCGACACATCCATGCGCAATTTTGGGTCAGAAATGGGTCCACGCAGACGCGAAGTTGACGGTTTTTAGAAATGCGTCGGCACGTTGGGCCAGCGTTTTTGTCTGCGGCGACCACATGGCCGAACGAAATGGGTCGCATTGAATCACCAGTTGTCCACGACAGCGACGTGCAACGGTATCTGGAGAGGCAAACGATTATCATGTCTTTATTCAAAAAGGAGGAAAAGTGAAGAAAAAAAGTCAAATAATAAGAAATTTTTTTATGAAAACGATTCTATCCCTAGGCCAAGTTTTCTAATTTCGTGTGCCACATCCTGAGATGGTGGAAACATCAGCCGCTAAATCACCGTTTGTCCACGACAGTGACGTGCCACGGTATCCGGAGGGGGCAAGCGATTCCACCACGACGCCACAGAATCAAAAAGCGCAACGGAGCCACTCCTCCACACGAAACAAAAACCCAACCTCCTTTTCAAAAGGAAAACGATCCACACACATCACACGTACAGTGCATGCAACGGGCTCACGCGTCGAGCCGAGACCCTTCCGGGACAGCTGGACGCCTCCCAAATATTCCCAGGCGAAGCCTCCTGGGCCAAGCAAACGCGAGGAGCCCTCCCAGCCAAGCATTATCCGCGCCGCGCCGCGAAGTCCGCACGCAAAAGCGCCAGAACGCGGTGCACCGTGACTCGGCACCCGCCAGCCGCGGAGCGCCCGTGAGCCTCTATCCGATCGGTCCAGTGGACCGGGTCCTTTCTCAGGGCTCGCTCGGCCCCTTATAAATAGGCTGCCCAGGCCGGGGTGACTTTCCCATCTTGCAAGTCTCCTCATTTGTTTAGCACAAACGCAAACTCCGGCCGTTCCCCACCCACCATCTCGTCGAAAACCTAGAAATTCGGAGTGAGATTGTGTTCGTCCGTTTACTTTCGTTTCTTCGAGATCCGTGAGGAGCGGGAGAGACAGATCCGTCGCTTGCTACCTGTTCAAGGTCTGTGACGAGGAGGAGCAGATTCGGCGCGTGCCTCCGAGGTTCTTCCTGGAACTGTAAGATTTCTCTCCATCAGCTCATGTTGTTTCTATTCGATAGACATCTTCGATCCGCGGTAGAAATTTGTTTCCTGTGCCTAGTAGGATCATACTCCTTTTCGCCCCGGTGATGGGTTGGATAGGAAAAGTAAATAAACATCGTCGTCTAGATTATCTGTAATTTCACAGACTTTGTGAAATATATGCAACGGAGTCAGGAATTATCCGTGTAACTGTACGAATATGCTGTTCGGTACATCAATTTTTGGTAGATTTTGGCTTACCTGAATATTGCTTGATGTCAATTCGTTTCTATTTCATGGTGCTTTCCTCCCTTTCTGTTATGCTGCGGACTGGAATAGTCGTCTTCAAATCAGGTCGAATATCATGTACACTAATAATTCAGTAGTGATTAGCGAACTATTCCTCTACTTTATGTACCTGGTGAAACGGGAATCCCAGAAGGATATTAGTAGTACTTTTTACCTCGCAATATGTTCTGTACTTCATCGTTTCTAACCCATATCAACCCACTGCAGAATTTGATGTGCTATGGAATCCAAGGGTGGTAAAAAGTCCAGCAGTAGTCGTTCCTCCCTCATGTACGAAGCTCCCCTCGGCTACAGCATTGAGGACGTCCGCCCTGCAGGCGGCATTGAGAAGTTCCGCTCCGCTGCCTACTCAAACGTATGTATCGAATCAATTGAGCTCCTCCTTTCTTTTCGTTGAATATCTTGTTGATGATTAGATGCTCACTGTTTCTACTTCCAATTGCTTCTGTTTTGCAGTGCTCGAGGAAGCCATCCTGATAATCCCTCTCGCGTCCCATCCTAATTGCTTAGAATTCCCTCCCTTTTCAATTCATCTTCCTAAAATTTCTCTGGCTAGCTGCTTTTCTCTGACCAGCAAAGCCTTTTCTCCCTCTACCAACCTTCTGAAACAATGGCCGGCTCTGCGATTGGGTTCGAGGGATATGAGAAGCGCCTGGAGATCACTTTCTCTGAAGCGCCAGTCTTCACTGACCCCAATGGCAGGGGATTGCGTGCTCTCTCTCGTGCCCAGATCGACTCGGTCCTTGATCTTGCCAAGTGCACCATTGTATCTGAGCTCTCCAATGAGAAGTTTGACTCGTATGTCCTTTCTGAATCAAGCCTCTTTGTGTATCCGTACAAGGTTGTGATCAAGACCTGCGGTACCACCAAGCTCCTGCTGGCCATTCCAAGGGTTCTTGAGCTTGCTGAGGAGCTGTCCCTGCCACTTGCTGCTGTGAAGTACTCCCGTGGGACGTTCATATTCCCTGAAGCACAGCCTTCTCCACACAAGAACTTCTCTGACGAGGTTGCCTTCCTGAATGGCTACTTTGGTGGACTCAAGTCTGGCGGCAATGCCTATGTCATTGGTGATCCTGCAAAGCCAGGCCAGAAGTGGCATGTCTACTATGCCACCCAGCAGCCTGAGCAGCCTGTGGTTAACCTTGAGATGTGCATGACTGGTCTGGACAAGAAGAAAGCTTCTGTCTTCTTCAAGACCTCTGCTGATGGCCACACATCTTGCGCCAAGGAGATGACCAAGCTCTCTGGCATCTCTGACATAATCCCAGAGATGGAGATCTGCGACTTTGATTTCGAGCCATGTGGCTACTCCATGAACGCCATCCTTGGCTCTGCTTTCTCCACCATTCATGTCACCCCCGAGGACGGCTTCAGCTATGCTAGCTATGAGGTCATGGGGTTGGACCCTGCCTCCGTGGCCTATGGTGACCTGGTCGAGAGGGTGCTGAGATCCTTTGGCCCGTCTGAATTCTCTGTTGCTGTGACCATCTTTGGCGGCCCCAGCCTTGCTGGCACCTGGGGCGAGAGGCTGAATGTTGGGGTCTATGATAGTACCAACATGGTCGTCCAGGAGCTGCCTGGCGGGGGCTCGCTCATCTACCAGAGCTTCACTGCTGTCGGTGAAGACTCCACTGGGTCGCCAAGATCTGTCCTGAATTGCTATGTTGATGGCAATTTAGAGAGCGGCTCCAAGATGGATGCTTTCCTTTGCTGGGAAGACGATGCTGCGCAGGAGAAGGATGAGAGGGGGGCTGGTAAGAAGATGAAGAGCTCTTGATGGTGATGCTAGCTGGTTTGAATGAGCTTGTGTTGCGTCAGTTTGTTCTTAGATTTCCTGTTCCTGCCCTATTACTTTGTTATGGACAAGTGACGTGAAATGGTTAGCGTTTTCTGCCAGGGTGAGCGAATGTATGGAAATGCCTGTATCTGGCTGCAGGTTTATGAATATAAGAATACGCCTTGTGTTGAGCAAATGTTATTTTGTTATTTCCTGAAAGTTTTGTTAGAAGTCATTCTTGTTTGTCGTGGACCTATTGAATTCTGTGGCGAATCTGATTCAATTCTGATGGTTCCGAGGTTCGGGTACTAGTACCGCTTGTGGTGATTATTCGGTAAGAATCTATCTCTTGGAGTTGTCGATGCTCGATAAGAAAGATATGCACGCAAAGAATTTGCACTTGGGCGGCGTCCCCTCGAACCACACCTTATATGTGGAGGCCACCGAATACACCCGTTTGGTGGTGACATTGCAAGTAATAGCATCAGTCAAGTTCGTATAACTGCTGGATATTGGTTGATGGAGCCCGTTCGACATGTCGATCCTAGCAATCCAAGCAAGGTCCCCGAGAGCATCACGCACCGTTGAATTCTTCCTTTTTGAGATGAGGAATATGGCGGAAGCGATATCCTTCGGCTTCCACCCATTGAGCCAAGGTGAGTGCCAAAACATGGCCATGCAGGTGATGGGGGTGGCTGCATATATGAAATCCATGCGAGTGTTATTGCAAGACTTGCCCAAATTAACCAAAGCTCTGGCATATTTTGAGGATGTTGAGAACCCCCAAGCCATCAAGTCTTTTTGGTCTGCGCCCAAAGAAAGGCCCTCTCGATCTTCTCAAAACAGGGTACTAGGGTCGTCCTTGAAGGTCTCTTGATACTTCCCTAATTAGAGTGTGAACTAGAGTGTCGGCATTGTATGCTCCACGGAGCAAGAATTAGGCATGTATATCAAATCCTCTTCTCTCCTGGCTGAATTGTCACCAAACCTCAACGACCATATCAGAACTGCATGTCATGGCATGTCAGTGTAGAATTTTAGGCCTCTTTTGATTCACAGGAGTTTTGTAGGAATTCTAAAGGACATGTATCTGTAGAAGAGAATTCTTCGAAGCTTTTTGACCTGTAGAAATGGACTCCTATTCCTATCCAGAATAAGAACAAATCCTTAACATTTCAAAGGAAAATTACATTAATCTAGACTCGACGAATCCTATGAATCAAATGGTATCTGAGATAGTAAATGTCATTTCACTTCCTATGCTTTTCTATTCCCATGATATATTTCTATCCTCTAAACCAAAAGAGGCCTTCGATGATGCAACCGCCTGTCATGGGTTGCATGCAACTTTAGGAAAACAAGCTCAACACGGCAGACACCAGGTCATTCGCATGAACGGGAGGTTAATAAACACAATCAGCTCAAGCCTGCTTACAACTTGCAAAAGATCAGAATGTTCTCTCCAACTTCAACTATAAAATTGACTATGGGATGAAGAAAATGTTACAACTTACAACACCGTAAAAGTCCTGAATCAGCAAATGTGAAAGAATCGTTTCAAATGAACTCATATACGAGTGTATCATCATGATATATTTATACAGAATCGACTCAGGACTTCAGCTTAGCCGAAAAGCTCTATAGAATGAATGCACCAGCTTCAATATCTGATGGCTGCACGCTAGCTGAAGATGACGATGGATCTAAAAGGGACGTCCGCTGCCGTTTCTGTCCCCAACATATCCGGTCTATCTTCGTTTTGCTCCTCAAGTTAAAGGGAACCTCTATACAGTTGGTCCAGGGTAACAGGCGAGTCTCTGTTTTCACCCTTGAAGGAGAGCAGCCGCCCTGTTGCACGAGCAACTTATTCTCAAGCGCCGCAGCCGCAAGAGCGTTCTGTGTTGGATTCTTTAGTTGGCTGCCCAAGTATCCTTGGCAACTCTTTGCTCCGCAATGGCACTTAACCTTCTCTCCAAAATGCACAAACCTGGAAGAAAGCAGTATACTATAACTGTTCAAAGAAATAACCAGTCCTGGGAAATATGGATGTAAAGGTGGAAAGAATCTCATTTCACTTGCTCCCCTGATTAGCATACATTAAACCATGCAGAATTACTATATCCTCTCTGCGTAAAGAATAAATCTATCAAAACCAGTGAAATGCCCTGCAATCAGAATAGCTAGGACTTGGGCTGTTCAAAAAGGGTTTTGTTAGCCCATCTGAAATAGGTATGGAAGCACTCTGTACTTCTTCATCGCAGGCATGTCCCATTTCAGTCCATACTGCACAGAGTGGTTTGGCCCAGATAATATAACACAAGTTTGGTAGAGAGTGTTTGGGTCTGACCATATGACCTAGGTTTGAACAACTAACTGAGACCAGGGAACACTAGGAACAACTAAACCTGGTTTGTACTAAAGGGAAGTTAAACAGCATATCCTGGCTTACAGTTTGCACGCAAATTGGCAAACAGAAACCCAAGAATGCTACTACCGGTGTATTCTCTGGAAAATCACAATCCAAGGCAAGTGACCTACTGATCTAAGACCCCAAGCTCAGATGGACAAGTTGCTGGCTCACCATAACAATATTTGTAGTTAAATGCTAATTTGGTCACTTTGGTGGTACATACCCGGATCAGAATGTTACAAGCTTGACTAAAAATATCACAAACTCATCAGCAACTAGAGCTGATTGCAGCAGGCCGCTTAATGCAATATATTCGTTGCTCCTCCATGTTGCTATAATGTACTCATTTTTGCCTGATCAGGCTAAGAAATATATGTACTCTTTTGAGAGAAAAAAAATGACTGTAAATACCTGTAGTCATAAGTTAAGGGCTCTCCAACTTCAATGAAACGAGAGGCAAAAACACCAACTCTTGTCTCACCCTCAACTTGCCTGATGAACCATACAGAGTAATAGACAATGAGGAACATCATCATTTAAAACAAAAATTATCATCACTGAATGCAAAACAAGCTTTCTGTACCAGAAATCATTACCACTTTTCTAGTTTACAGTTGGGATCACAACTATGGTTTAGAAAACGTGAAGTGTTTCCTTTAAAAGTTGCATCTATTGTAAAATCTTTGCTGATTTCACACATGTAGAAATTTTTGTCCCCACGCCGCTTCATGTCCCAAAGCCGTTGTTCACATGTTGCATCATTGATGACTGAAATAAGGTTTAAAATGAAAATACATAAGGATATCATTAAGTTGCCACAGCAGATTTACGGAAGATAACTCAGGACTAAAACCAAACTAGTTTCTATTTCCTTAATTTACAAAACATGAGCTCTACATTCAATGGCATAAGTCCAGGGTTGTGTCCCTTGTGCTCTGTAGGTATGCCCTTTGGGCTCTTGCAATACATTACTTTGAGTGTTCCTCATAACTTGACGTGGTAATGTGGCGTTAGGGCAGCGGGTTCTCAACTCTAACAACCGCCCTTAAACAAAGAGCAATCGTAAATGTAACTCAAGAATTTATTTGGCACAAGTAAGCATAAACGAAATTACATGAATTAAAGCCAGTGAAAATGAGAGCACAAGCAAAATGTCATTTCCCCCATTGCATATGTGCAGTCATCTAGAAACTTTTTGCTATTTCTATTAGACAAATATGTAACGTAGCAGAATAATTTGTACCTTCACCCACATACTCAATTATGAAATCACCTTTCTCCAATGGCTCCAATGCAACAGCACCCCATCCACAGCCTTCTGACTGTAAAGGGAAAAGGCTGTTGTTTATTGTAGTCAAAGAAGTAGAATAAACATCTTTCATTAAGCATAACACCACAACCGATTCTCAAAAACGCACCCCTATCATTGCCACATGTCATTTTGCATCCAATAGTACAAGAAAGGGGATTTGTGAAGGCAGTGGGTACTTTGGCAGCCACCTTTGCATTGTGTAGCAATTAGGTGAAGTGCTTATGCAAGTGGCCCATGTATAAACAATGTGCCCCTTCATTTAGCTGTTTCCCAGCAGTACAACTCATGGCACACACAAACTCTCGAAGGGGAAAAGAGTGGGCCTTGAAAAATTAGAAGAGTAGTTTAAACATATCCTTGCGGAATGGCTTGTCGCTACACAGGTTTGTGAATAAATTGGCAAGCGAAGTCCAAATGTATACAAGCACATCATTTGAAAGACAGGACTACCTTGACAATTTTAATTTTCTTATCCTTGCGGAATGGCTTGTTGCTACACAGATCTGAACAGTGGCAACTCTTGGAACAACTCATAGAAAGACCCCTGATAAAGGACAACCAAATTTCAATATGTCAAATAAATACAAGTATGGTTGCTAGGGTAAATATCTACATCATACACATGTACAAAATCTGTACAATCAAGCTAACTTATTCGGTGATTAGTCATATGCACACGTAACAGTAATCCAGCATTAATGTTCAAAGAACAAGAAAATACATTACTCCATTTGCTATAGTAGAAAGAAATAATCCAATACTATTGCGCATTTTGGTGCTACCGTACTACCATAGTTGCAGGATTGACAATAGATGAATCTGCGGTGCGCATTCAAATCCATATTAGTGGTGACTGAATAGGAGCTCATATTTTACTTTTCTCCATTTTAACATAAAGCTATTGTTCATCTTTGTATTGATCAAATCTGGATCGACAATAGACAGAATTCACCTCTTTTTTTTTGTTTCTCTTTGTATTGATCAAATCTGGATTTGAAACAGATTGATCTTTTGTCAATATTGTCAAAATAATTATTGTATACTTTTCCGAGCTACAGGAGGGGAAGACAGATAATACATGGTGCAAAACAGTAATATACAAAAACTAAATAATCATTTTTTAAAACTGATGGTGAAGTTCTATTTAGGTCCAAGTAATTTTCAGCACAACTCCAACATCGATTTATTTTCCTATCTAAACCAGATCAAACCAACCTTGATGCTGGTGATCGTGGTAGTTTTGCCAGGTAAGCGGCATGGACTCCTAATCAGCAAATGTGAACTAACATGGATGATGTGGTATTCCAGTTAGCAGTACATTTACTAAACAGAAAAAACAAATTACAATGTATAGTCAGGCCCATCTGGCAGCCCAAATCTCCTCTCTTCTCCCTGCGCTCTCTCATTGTATCGCTCCTGACCCACAATCTCGGTTAGAAACTTAGAATGGTCAGTACAATAGTTGAGTATCGAGGCAATTTTATAAGTACCCACGAATGCATATGCTTGCTCTTTTGCCAGAATGCCATGAGAGATAGTTTTGCCAAAACTTCATTATTAATGTATGCATCTAAAATGTATTAATAGAGTTAGAAAGAATACCTGCATTCACAATCATCTTTGCAAACAGAATCCGATTTGCAATTTGTGCACCCAGTCTCGGCACTCGAATCGGCGCGTTTCTTCTTGACTAAATATACATCTTTTACAACATTAAGAAAACAATGATGACGTGTAGAGGTGTAAGGCATAAGAACACGAAACTCATTCCACAATAAAGAAGTCAAATGGAAGTAAATAGCTCCAGATATCTCGATCGAATAACTACAGCAAGTATTACTTTAGGATACTGCGCCTGATATGTGTGTAGGAGGGCGGTTTACAAACAATTGCCGTGAAATTCCTAATGGTTGAATCAATATTGAATTCTTCATTAACATATGGAAGAGGTAGTCGGCAGAAGACTTCCTGTCAAACAAGCATTGTTAGCATTAGTTATGCACAAAAGCCTGGTAGGCAAGACAGATAAATCTTCTTGACAAAATATTACTTTTCTGGAACAAGACAATCATTTAACTTGTTTCTGCAGCATTCCAGCATTAATAAACTAAATAGGTTCCTCCCAAATCTTCATGGATTTCAAAGACTGTAACCCTCCCATTCTAAAGTGACGATTTTCACTTATTTTCAGTCTCCATTGTACATTTTCAGCCATAGTAGTATGTATAATTAAACCAAAAAAGCATATGAAAATATTTTTTGCATGTGGCCATTCTAAAACAACTGACCAAACCCATCCCAAAACATCAGCTATTTTATCATGCAGAGGGAGCACAAGACAACAATATTGGTCTGCTTAAAGACTGGAGTACCGGATAAAAGCATCCTAAAGCCTACAGAGCATTAACACTGCAAGAACAAGTAAGGAACCCTTGAAAATGAACTATTTACGAAAATAGCGCAACACAACTTAAAAGAAGCAAATATAAAAAGGGAGGTAGCAACATACAGTTATATTATGCCAGCACTAACCTCTATGTTGTTTGTCAGGTCAGCATTCTGTCACCATCAAACAAAGTACTCCTGTCAGACACCTCAAGCATTACAAATATTAACAAAAAGGTATGGAATGCAGTTAACTTTTTCTGATAATATAAATTAATAATCTAGAGGTAAAAGAAAGTAATGTAAGGATCAGCAGTGCACGAAACCATGAATCAAGCTTAGCTATAGTTGGAACAGAACCAGCAGAAAACTAAATGCTCCTCATGGCAGAGAGTTCTGGTTTTATTAAGAATGAACTCCATAAAATTAATCATTTTTCATTAGGACTTGGAAAATATGAATTTGTGATCTGTTATTAACAGAAAAAAGAAGAATCACGGGGAGCAATGGTCATTTTACAGATATACAAATGGTGAAACATTAAGAGAACTCTAAAGACCACATGGAGTATGGGCAAATTCTCGAGGTGCATTGATAATATGTGTTATGTTTACGCATTCATGGATACTTGTATCAACTACCATGTATGCAAGGTATGGCATAGAGATAGAGATTAGTGTTGTTCATGCATCCGTATAGAGCAATTATGAAGCAAGATCTGGAACCAAGTCTCTTCTGTGAACATATATGAAAACCAAAAACAACTTTTCCAATGATGAACTTCTGGTATGATCAAAGAAACTTATATTAGCGGGAAAAAGTGGGCTAAAACTTAAGAGGGACGGAAGCTCAAAAAAGAAACTTGAAAAGGTAGGTATCCTGTTTGCTATGGCCAAACTGAGAACAAAAGACTGTACCACCGATTTGATATTCAAGGAAGAAGTGGCTTGATTTAAATGAAATGCATTAGAAGATTTGTAGCTTTCAGCATAGTTGCACAAACAGAATATGAAGATGCAAGTCAGACGCGAGGGAACCGAAAACCATATTCCTAGAAAAAATGCTTAAAAATACTTGCGCTGGGTTTTTCTTCTTGTGGAAATACTTAACGATTCAACCTCCAGCTGTAAATAAATGACGCCCTAGAAAGTTTGCACTCAAACATCTCTAACTTTTACCAGAAACATGAAAGAACATTCAGATCGGTCAAGTGAGATTAGTATCACCAGATTTTCATGAAAATATTATGATTGTAACATTTTTTACTAACATGTTCATATGAAAAGTAATGGTCAAAGTTGCGAGTGGAGAGTGTCCATGTCCAAAACCTCATCTATTCATGAAAGAGGGACTAGTAAATTAGAAGGCAAAGTAGTTACCCTGTTCACGCATAACAATATGAATTGAGGAATTGTAAGGGATAAAGGATGGACCTCATTTTGAAGGAGCCAATTGGAAGGGTGCCTCCAGCAAATTGCACTTCCTTGGTCATCTTTTAGATGAATTAGAGGCCATGGTGCACATTTTGTATGTGCTGCAACTGTACAACGTCCACAGCGCCAAAAAAACATTTTTTGCTTACAAACCATGCAACCCTGATTATAGAGAAAGAAAGTCCAATTAATGTGTATCAAAATTAAGTATGACCTTACAAAAATATTCGGAACTACAGGAATTGGCCTTTTAAATACCTTTTAAAAAATATTCTCTGTACAAAATGCAAAAAAATGTACTCCCTCCATATCATAAATACATGTCGTTTTGGATACTGACCCAGTCTTCACGATTTACCTTTGACCATTAATTCTTACGGCATTATACACAAGAAAAATATAAAATTATTATATTATGAATATACTTTTCGACACAAATCTAAACATATGATTTACAAGTTCTCAATCTAAATATTTAGAACAATATTCATAGTCAAAGTTAAGACATGTCCAAAAGGACATGCATTTGTGATATGGAGGGAGTACTGTGTTATTTCGTTTACTTATTCCTTCACAAATAGTAAGCCATGTGCAGGTCATGAATTGGTCATACATCAACAACCATAACCATGAACTATCAGCCTGTCAAAGACTCAAAATATATTTGAGTCATTTGCAAATATATTGTGTTACTTAACATAACCCATAAGTGTGTCTATTTATAGTTTCCAAACCATCAAGTATAGCATAATTGTATGTTGAATGCAACAATTATCCATGTGGACCGAATACTGCATATCAAAACAGGGTAGGCATACTCAAGTATGACAACTGGACAAGTCCAACAACTTCACAACAAAAGTTCTTTAAGCTACATAACTTGCATTTTTAGGAAAATCTCATGTTTTGCCAATGCACAGCACTTGCAATATTAAACATATCCCATTTAATAACATTTCAACTTACATGCTGAGGGCACCTGAAGCTTTCAGCAGTGAAATTTGCAGTATATTCCACCACACAGGTCAGATGAAACATTTGTTCACAACGGCTAACTGAACATTTTATTTCTTCCGAGGGATGGATAATCTTATAGCATACACGACATTCAACCTGTGCACATACGAAGAACCATCAGATACAAAGCCAATAAAAATTGATCAAAACTGAAACTTGGTCCCAATGTTGATTTAATTACGAAAACTTATCACGGTATCATGTATGAGCTGCAGTTTTAACTTTCAACAGGTAGGCAGAGGCGTATATGAAGTTTGATGAGGTGTATGCTGAGTAATATGTAATTAAGCATCAAGCATTCGAAAGGTGGCAGTGGAACTTAAGGAAACAAAATCTCTCAGTTCTCACGTTAATCAAAGAACAACTTTACATTGCTCATGGCAGCTTGCCACTGTGATGTGTAGCCAATAACATGATCAGCAAGCAACAAACAGTGTGGCTGCTCGCCTGAACTGGCAGATATCTAGGAAGGAAGGGGGGATCAGATCTGGTCTTTGGTCTACTCGTAGAGTGAAAATGGAGAGGGGGTCAAAGGCAGCACTGGAACTAATACTGCATAAAACAACTTTTCTCAGATCCCACATTGATCAAAGAACAACCACATTGTTCATGCCAGCTCACCACTGTGCAGTGTAGTTGATAACATATTAACATGTTGGCCAGTTGGCTAGTGTGGCTGCTCGCTTAAACTGACTGATATCTAGGAGGGAAAGGGGAGCTCAGATCTTGTCTTCAGCTTGCTAGGAGAGAGGAAGTGGAGAGAGGGTTCAGAACTGGGAAGGAACCATAGCCACTGATGCCAGTTGTTGACCGTCTCCAGCCCACATCTGTTGCCACCGTCCATAGCATGGTGTCACCTCCCTGTCTTCCGCCGTCGTCTCACAGGTACTCTTTTTTCATTCCCTTTCTTCTTTGTTCCTCCCCCTCCCCACTCTACTTTGCCGCTCGTTGCCCATATCCATATTCTGCCCCGCTGCTTGCCTCTCAGCTGCCAGCTCTGCGGCTAGCGGTGCTGGATTCTGCTTGCTCTCCTCTACTCACATAGAATTGTACAAGTATAAGAGTAGAGAGTTAGAAATAGGAGGACAAGGATTGAGTTGGTAAGCAGTGGACCTGACAGCCTGGTGGTATTAGAACACTGGGAGAAAGGACTGGATAATTTAATGTGTTTTTGCTTGAGAGATGTTGTGGGATGTATGTCATATGAGTGTCATTTGTTCTGATTTTTCTCTCTGTTGTATGATTGTTGTTTGTTATGATTTGACTAATATATGTGATTATCTAATCACCACCTAGGCCGCCACCTAGGTGCCAGGATGAGCTGGCGCCTTAAGTCACGCAACTGGAAGAAGGGTCGTAACTTTGACCCCAAACAATGTTGAGGCGCGTTAGGCATCAGTGAGATCCCGGCTTAATAGGAGTGATATACTACTTGTATCAACAAGGTGCACCTTCTTTTCCAGGAGCCCATCCAAAAGGAACCTCAAAGTTAAGCATGCTTGGCTTGGAGCAATTTGAGGATGGCTGACCGACTAGGAAGTTGATCCCGGGTCCGCACAAGTGAGGACAAAGTGCGCAGGAAAGACCAGCCTAGACCCTAGGTGGTAGCCAGGCGCAACGGCCAGGAACTGATGGGTTTCGGCCGGGGCGTTACAATTGGTATCAGAGGCGACGCTCGCGGTTACACAGGTGTGTGTGGGTCAGGTGCGCGGGCATGTGGCGTATGGCGCGTGTGACCTGTCATGGCACACGGCATGGCACATGTGCCGGGCTGGACGCGCAGACGTGTGCCAGGAGGGAACGTTCCTGCTGGGCCGACGTCAAATGATAAACTACTCTTATCAACAAGGTGCACCTTCTTTTCCGGCTCCCGGAACCTCAAAGTTAAGCGTGCTTGGCTTGGAGCAATTTGAGGATGGGTGGCTGACTACGAAGTTGATCCCGGGTGCGCACGAGTGAGGACAATGTGCGCAGGAAAGACTAGTGTTGGTCTGTGGGGCTAGTCTAGATCCTAGGTGGTAGCCAGGCGCAACGGCCAGGAACCGGTGGGTTTGGCCGGGGCGTTACAGCATCAGTCGGCTGATCCTGAGAACAGATCAGACGGCTTGCTAGCCAGCTGATTGCAAACTTTATATAAGTCTCTGCCTACCTGTGATCAATCTAAGTTCTCTACATGACTAGAAATTATGACAGCATGCTGTTGAAAATATGTGAGCTGTGGATAGAGAAAGTAAATCTGTGCATCACAAGGACAAATGTGATGGTTTTATAATCAAGGCTTTGCTTGTTTACATCTGTTGACAAACTGCTCGAGCATTGGTTGATCTTAGTTGTGACGGTGTATTACCAATTGAGATGTATGGGTTGCATTTTGGTACAATATGCAGTTGTGGAGATATTTTATAGTTAAGTTTGATGGTGCACAGAGTAAATCACCTTAACATGAATTTCGGTAGAACAGCAATTCTAAGTAATGCTGAATCAGCCACCGGCGATTCAGTCATTAGGAGCAGAAACCCTTACCGCCTTGGGCGCACCAGTGAGGAATGGCAGCACACAATGCTGCAGGGAGGCACCTGACGCCACCTTCCTCGCCTCCCACTCCTTCACATAGTCCTTGAGTGACCGACCCGATGCCAGCGCCAGCACCGTTGCTGCCGGAGATAAAGGCGAACGAGTCGAAGACGACCTCTTCCCGCTGCCGCGGCGCACCTCAGGGTGGGCTGTGATAGAAACCACACCCTTGTTCACATAGTCCTCTAGCATCAGATCCGGCTTCTTTCCGCCACTGCGGCGCGCCTCAAGATATGGAGTGGCAGAGACCGCACACACGTTCACATAATCTTCGAGCTTCACACCCGGTGCTGGCGCATGTACGGCCGTGGCGGCAGAATGCAACGGGGCAGAGGAGTCCTTACCGCCGCCGTGGTGCGCTTCAGGAGAGGCGGCGAGAGAGGCCACGTCGGCGTTCACATATTCCTCGAGTGCCCGACCAGATGCCGGCGCTGGTGCCGCTGCGGACGGAGGCAGCGGGGCAGAGGACGAGTTCTTCCGGCCGCCTCCTCTGCGCGCCTCCGCGCCGGCAGTGACAGCGATCACGCCCTCGTTCACATAGTCCTCGAGCACCCAACCCGATAACGGGGCGAGTGACGCCGCCGCGGACGAAGGGGGCGGAACAGAGGACGACCTCCTCTCGCCGCCGCGGCGCGCCTCGGGGCAGGCGGTCACAGGGACCGCGCCCTGGACGTCAAAGGCGCGCACGCGGCCGCTCCAACGGCACTCCACAGGGATAATGGGAGCGCCATCGCCGCCGGAGGAGGATTCCGTCGCCGCCGCCGCCGCTGCCGTCGCGGGGTCAGCGGCCGCATCCCCGCCCACTAGGTCCACGGCGGCGTCGGCAGACAGTTCGGGACAGACGGTGCTCAGATCTGGCATGGCAGCGAGGGGCCGAGGGGTGAGGGCTAGGGTTTGGAAGGCATTGGAGTTGGGTAGAGACGCCCCTCAGAATGGACTGAAGGAGATGTGAGCTGAACTGGGGAAGAAGTTGGTGTGATTTCTGTGACTGGGAAAAGTTGCTGTGTGGCGGTCGGAGAGACTCGTCCGAAATTCGTTACGCGGCAAACTGAGACTTAAGATCTCACCCCCTCCAACGAACTGTAGCAGTGTCAGCTGTGGTAAATATACTTTCGGTTCTGAGCTCGATACTTTTTTGTTTTGAAAAACATAAAGCGTGTTTACAAGTTCAACCGACTCTAAAAACAACTTGTAGTCCTTCAAATTGATGATTGCTCTGTTATGATTTGATTTTGTTTTTGTTTTTTGCGGGAAACTGTCGATCTATTCATCTTCAATCATGACAGTACAACGAACACCGGAGCGGGTACAACTTGTTGTAGCAGATAGTCAGAAAGTCGTCGTGCTAAGGTCCCATAGGGCCAACGCCCCAGAACAGCAACCGCCATCGATAAAGAGAATTTTAGATCGGAAGGATCCAACCTGAAGACACATGAACAAAGACGAACAAAGACCGGATCCGAGCGGATCCACCAAAAACAACCACCAACCAAATATCGCGAGATTCGCCGGAGACACACCTCCACACACCCTCCGACGATGCTAGACACGCCATTGGGACGGGGGCTAGGCGGGGAGAACTTTATTCCATCTTTAAGAAGTTGTCGCCGTCTCATCTTCTTGAACAAGACACAAACCCTAACAAAACTTGAAGAAGCACCTGAAAACGGAGCCCTCCCGTCGACAAGGGCCGGGATCCACCGCGCACCCATGGCCCTAAGGCCACAGGAGACATGGGAGATCGGCGGCGCCGACGACGGGAGGCAGAAATCCTAACCGCCTTTTCTTGGAGGAGGGACAAAGGGAGGAGACGTATTGTTGATATGCCTGAAGATCTCATTACACCAATTATACAAATATAATGAGCACACATCCGACCTTTGCATGGCTATGATGCACACAACCAACATCAACACACACACACACACACAAAACACGCTGACAAATAACAAAGTCATGTAAGACCAAAGCTATATGTAAACGAGGAAAAATGAAAAAACCCTAGCTTGGATCCGCAATCCGCAAACTACAACAATGACCATATTCACACCAACCATCTTATGACATCACACATACACCGAGGTTCTTTAACAACAACGTCTTCAGGAAGGGAGGGGCGCTCAATCGCCGCTGTCACCGGATACAACCAGCCAACGTCAGAATCTACTTTTTACCCTGAAGAACCAGTCTGAACATATCTAAGCAATGCCTTCAACAAGGTAACGACGGAAAGCCATCACCATTGCCAGGTATAACTGACACATGTCAGACCTTGGCTTTCACCCCGCAGCTCGAGACCAGATGCTCGAGTAGCACCACCATCGACGTCACTTATGTGTTGTCGCCGCCACTTTCCCGCGATCCCAGGCCCAGCAGCTGCATGCCAGACCACCACCGCTCCACAACCATCCCTCTCCGTCAAATCATCGCCATAGTTTGCATCTCCCTGCTGAACACAACCACCGGATCTAAAGAGAGAATCCCTGGTGAAGACCTTTCGGTGGTCACGGCGAGTCCGGCACCGCTGGCCGAAGTGGCGTAGATGATGAAGCCGCTAGATCTGCCACTAATCACTGCACCACTATCACCAAGCACCAGCGGACCAGCCGAACAGTCCAGCACACCATTGAAGTCATGATGTTAGAGAACACAAAGCCAGTAAGCTAAATCACGTACCCCAATGATAGCATCGCCCGTAAGCCATCACATGAATCATCTATAGGGAAGCCATAGATCAGACCGATGCACCGCTGGATGATGGCATCTCATGCTGGAGTTGAAGACATCATGTCCGCCTCACCTTACACCACTTGGGGATGGTGAACGCTCCATGGCTGGCTCTAATGGGAGATAATGGGGAGAGGACGCAACAAGTGCGCTTTGGCCATCTAATATTACATATGGTGATCTGACTAGCCGCTTGGCAGAGATGCCCCCGCTAGGAAGAGTCAAAGAAGAAGAAGAAGAAGAAGAAGAAGAAGAAGAAGAAGAAGAAGAAGAAGAAGAAGAAGAAGAAGAAGAAGAAGAAGAAGAAAGTTGAGGGCCTGCCGTCGATAGGGAGGAATAATGGAGGAGGCGGCACTGGAGATTGGATGGGAGGCCGCCCGTGTCGCCCAGTCAAGCGAAGTGGGGGCGATCTGATATTTCGGGGCGACCCGATTTACTTTGCTGCACCAAGCACCAATTATACTAGGTAGAAAGTTCTTAAGACCATCAAAGCTACCATTAACGTTTTTGACGAAAATGTGAGATTTGACCTTCCGTCAAAGAATCCATTTATGAAGTACTTCCCTAGGAAAAGAAGGTGAAGATGTACACACGAGACAATATCCCGAACGCTAGGAGCAATGGGTGTCGGTGTCAAAACCGGAAGACCTCGGGGTAGGGGGTCCTGAGTTGTGGATCTAGGACCGATGGGTAACAAGGGACGACGAACACAATGTTTACCTAGGTTCAGTCCCTCTCGAAGAGGTAATACCCCATGTCCTGCTTGATTGTATTAGATGTATAGTATGGTTTACAGAGTAGATCTACCTCGAGATCAGCATGAGCTAAACCGTAAGGCGATGAGGTGATGAATATGGCTCTAGCCCTAAAGACTACAACCCTCGGTTTATATAGACACCGGTAGGGTTAGGGTTACCGGAGATAGATTACAATAAGGGATAAAGAGATCATGCCTATCCTTGACTTAGAGGGCACACCACGGCTTCAATGATCTCCTGCCGATGTACGACTTCACTAGTTTAGCCCATATTCGATGGGCCAACGTCCTGAGGACCCCTTAGTCCATAACTCCCTCAGTAGCCCCCGAACTTGCCTCCAACGCCAAGGCTTGTATCTGGCATCCGCTCACCCAACAGTATTAGGCTTGCGAGGCGAGTTCTTCAGTGTGCTTTGTTCATGTTCGGAGCCAAGTGATGTCCGGAATCTGAAATGGCAGTTTTCCTTAGCAACGAAGGCAAAAGAAACTGTTCAAGCGTAAACAGTGCCTTCGCCTGGCAACTTTTCCTCTCCAACGAAGAGTCACGCCCGCTCATAACACCGAGTGGTTAGTGTTTCTCGAAGCGCGGCTCAAGGCCGATGCCATGTCTAACACGTCTCATTAATGTGGAGATCGTGCCCCGCCTTTCGGGGGATATGATCAATGATTTCGATCCCCCTCCCCACACATAATGTTGCGAGCGTATCGGGAAGTGGAGAAGCCAATGGCGTGAAAAAAGGAGCCCCTGGCTCGTCAATAGCCTATAAAGGGGGAGCTACAACAGTAATCATCCCATGCCTTCTTCCACCTTCCCCTCACGTAGATCCTTAGAGCTCTGGCGCCCCTTTTCTCTGCTTCCTCAGCAAATCCCACCCCATCCCCTTCAGCCATGGCCAGATCCGGCGCCAATGGGAAGTGGGAGGCCTCCATCATCATCGAGGGTGACATCCTGAAGCTGAGGCAGGCCGGCTACTTGTCGGCTGACATTGCCCATCGGCCCCCCGAAGAGGGCCAGATCATCCCTACGCCCTAGCCGGGCGAAAGGGTCATTTTCCTCCCTTAGGGGGCTTGGATTTCCCCTGCACCCCTTTGTGAGAGGGTTGATGTTCTTATACAGGCTAAATTTTCATGATCTAGCCCCCAAATCCCTTCTCCACATCTTGTCCTTCATCATCTTCTGCGAGGCCTTCCTCCGAGTCCAGCCACACTTCAGCCTGTGGCTAAAGGTGTTCAACATCAAGCCCAAGGTAGTTGGCGGGAACATGCGGACTACGGCGGGGCCATGATCAGTAAACTGACGCGGGTCTAGTGGCCGGCGGGCCATTTTGTCAACACCGTCAAAATGTGGCAGAAGGAGTGGTTTTGTATCACCGAGCCAAGGGGAGCCGGCTGGGCGGCGGCTCCCGCATTTAGATCCGGACCCCCTACCAGGCTGGCCTCATGGACCACCAAGAGCCCGGACTAGGGGTCTGCCGATGACTACAAGGCGCTGCAGAAGCGTGTCGTTAGCGTAATGGAGACCGGTGCGAGGCTAGTCGACGTGATTCAGATCATGCTCCATCGTCAACTCCTCCCCTACCAGGAGAGGGCCAAGCCAATGTGGGAATATGATCCCGAGGATCCGGCCACCATGAAACATCTCTTCGGCACGACCCACAAGAAAGTGTGGAGTCTGCTATTCAAACCAGAGAAGGATTGGCCAGTCGAGGGGGAGGACATCGGCCTCGATGCTACGAACCCTCCGAGGAAGGTGAGTGGCACTTGTCTCAACATGAGTTCGAATATTCGCATCATACGATTTGATCCGAACCTCTTTATGTGGATTTTGCAGGGCTGGCTTGCCAAGGCTGAGAAGATCAGCGGCCCGGTGCTGCTGCTAGAGGGGCCTCGATCCTAACAGCTAGAAGTTGTTAGTCGTGGTGCCTTACAAGGCGTCCGTCAAGAAGGGCAAGAGGACGGAGGTACCAGGGGTCAGGGAGGGGCTCTGCCACAGGGCTCGGTCGGGTAACCGGTCCGGGGACGCTGCGGCCTCATCCGTACAGGATGGGGACAAGGAGGAAAGTTCCTCCTCGCACTCTAAGAAGAGGGCGGCGTCTGGTGATGTCGAGGAGGTTCAAACTTCTTCGGCCCTGAAGAGGTGGTGCTAACCCAAGATAGTCCTGTCTGACAGCTCGGACGAGGTGTCCGAAGCATCCGAGGAGCTCCCAAAAAAGGGACCCAGGGTCAAGCCCATGCGACCAGGTATATATCGTTGCCTTTTCAATTGCCTTATTCTGTAGTAGTCCCTGGTAGAACATAGATTGATTGTTTTTTCTTGGCGGTGTAGTTCTTTGCATGGCCACCCCATCGAAGAGACCTCGGAGGGGACGTCCCTGCC